CAGTTTCCATTGAAATTCTGTCAGACAATCTGCACAGATGTGGACTTTCTGGAATTTTAAATAATTTCTTGTACAATTTGTTGTCAGAAAAGCAAATGAACTTTTCCCTTGGACAACTGACAACTTCCAGAATTAGCTACATGGGCCTGCCCCAAGGCTCATGTCTCAGCCCTCTTCTTTATAACTTTTATGTCAAAGATATCGACAACTGTTTGGCAGAACAATGCACGCTAAGACAACTTGCAGATGACGGTGTGGTTTCCGTAAGAGGTCCACATGCCGTGGACTTGCAAGGACCATTGCAAAATTCCTTAGATAACTTGTCTTCTTGGGCTATGAATCTAGGGATCGATTTCTCGCCGCAGAAAACTGAACTGGTAGTGTTTACTCGAAAGCGGTACCCAGCCCAAATGCAGCTTAATCTTTTGGGCAGAAACATTACCCAATCATTGTCTTTCAAGTACCTTGGGGTCTGGTTTGATTCAAAGTGCACTTGGAATGCCCATATTACGTATTTGAAGCAAAAATGTCAGCAGAGGATCAACTTTCTCCGTTCAATTTGCGGCGCATGGTGGGGTGCTCATCCGGGAGACCTCATAACGCTTTATAAAACAACTATTCTCTCTGTTCTAGAGTACGGCTCTTTCTGCTTTTTCTCGGCAAGAAAATGTCACCTAATAAAATTGGAACGAATTCAATATCGTTGTCTGCGTATTGCTCTAGGCTGTATGCACTCAACGCATAACATGAGTCTCGAGGTTCTGGCAGGAGTAACACCCCTCCAGAACCGTTTCTGGGAGCTCTCTCTCAGAGTACTAATCAAATGCGGAGTGACGAACACACTTATAATTGCTAATTTTGAAGAAATTCTTGGGCTGAACACACAATCTCGATTTATGAGAATCTACCACCACTACATATCATCAGATATGTGTCTTCCTTGTTATACTCCAGACCGTGTTCACTTCACCAATCGCAGTTCCTCAATTGAATATGATCTGACCATGAAACAAGCAACTCATGGGATTCCCGATCAACTTCGACCTATTATTATTCCGCGTATTTTTACTGAAAAGTACCAACAAGTCAATTGCATGAAAAGATATTTTACAGACGGGTCCCGTCTCAATGGATCCACTGGCCTCGGTGTCTTCAATGAAAACTCTAGCGCCTTCCGCAAACTTCAGGAACCTTGTTCCGTTTTTGTTACTGAGCTGGCAGCAATCAACTTCGCATTGGGGATGATTTCTCGCGTAACATTTGAAAAGGGCCTATGATCAAAATGTAAACAAACCGATTTTTGATACCATTCTGTAGCACTGGTAATTAGCTACCAGTCGTATAGGAATGTTCCGCATTATCGATAAAAATCATTAAAAATAACTTGATTTTAAAAACGGCCGATCCACGAAATTTTTCCAATCATTCATGCTAAAACGGCCTAACCTCGGGCCTAACATATATTTTTTTTCGTTCGATGAGGTTCCATTCATAAGCCTAGCGACGTAGAAGGGCCGATGATTGAAAAATTTCAAATCAAAGCTAGGCCCTACTGCTTGAGGCAGGGCCGATGATTTATTTGACGTTAAGAAAAGGCTTAGCAAAGGGCCTACAATTTATGATGACAAGCACAACGGCTTAACAAAAAGGGCCTAACCATTTAAAGATTCACAAAAAGGCTTATTACTGTGATATTAAATTTTTATCGATTTTCATGTATTTTTGAAAACGTTTCGCATGTTTTGGATGTTGTGTACTGAGATATAGTTACTATTGTTATTGTGAACAATATAAACGCCTAAAATACTTCAATTTATTTATATAGGAATTAAATACTGGCGGAAAAATTTACAATTCATTTTCTGGATTGTTTACATTTTGGACATAGGCCCTTTTCAAATGTTACGCGAGATTTCCAACATGCCCGCAGACCATTACTTCATCTTCACGGATAGTCTCAGTTCGATTGAGGCTATTCGGTCGATGAAACAAGGTAGGCACTCATCTTATTTCCTTTCAAAGGTAAGGGAGCAGATGTGTGTGCTGGTCGAAAGATCATATATGATTACCTTTGTATGGGTCCCCTCACATTACTCAATCCCAGGCAATGAGAAGGCGGACTCTCTCGCAAAGGTGGGCGCGCAGGAAGGCGAATTGTATGACAGGCAAATTTCACACGATGAATTTTACCATTTAGTGCGTCAGAGTACCTTTTCGAGTTGGCAAACCGATTGGGACACTGGAAATCTTGGACGGTGGTTACATTCAATTATTCCTAATGTTTCTTCGAGAGCGTGGTTTAAAGGCTTGGGCTTAAGTCGTGACTTCATTCGCGTGATGAGTAGACTTATGTCCAACCACTACTCGCTAGATGCTCATCTCAATAGAATAAACCTCGTGGACAGCAACATCTGTCGGTGTGGAAACGGTTACGATGACATCGAACACGCAGTTTGGCAATGTACTGATAATGACGCCGCCAGAGAGCGACTTTTGAATACCCTCGAGGCCCAAGGAAGACAACCCTATGTTCCTATCAGAGACGTGTTGGCAACCCGTGATCTCTGCTATACACAGCAAAAAAATAATTTTGATATCACACCAAAGTGGATGCACTACAATCATAGAGGTTGCTACAATCATGTCGAAAATTTCATGTAATTTTTGTGACCACATAAATAAACAAATGCAGTAAAAGCAGCGTAATGTCAGTTTATGCATTGTATTAATGATAATTTTGTCCTTTTTAGCAAGTAATATTACACCATATTTTCGACATGATTGTAAGTGCATCCACTTTGACGTGATATCAAAATTATTTTTTTGCTGTGTATGCAGTCCGTTTATGTTTTTCTTCAAATGTCTAGTATAAGAATTTAATTCCTTTTGTCTTTTGTCTCTCTTTATTAGTTTTTGTTTGTCTTGTCCCCCCGTCTCGATGAGTCTCATCGTCGCCCACTGGTCACCCACCATAGCCGGTCGAACTCCGGACGAAGCTAGAACAGCACTACCGTTCATACTGGCGACAACGCTCTGATGAGACAACGAAACCCTACCCCAAGCTCCTCCCCTGATCCTATCCTTCGAAAATGTACCCTTCTAACCTCGAGTAAGCCGCGAGTAATCGGCCCAACTCCTACTAGACATAGAATTAAGTGAATTTTGTTACACACAGTCAGGGTTGCTTCCACTCACTTGCTATAAAAAAATATTATTCGGTATTATGCAATCATTAGTTGCAATAATGCTATGTTGTACTTGTTAGTAACAAGACGAGGGATTAAAGTATGTTTTTGACTCATAAAACCTGTCAATTTCGCTTTGAGAGCGTCACAATCAGCGATCTAATGTTTCGTGAGCGTTCACTCAGAGTGAGCGCTCACGAGTCGTAAAATCTCTGATTGTGACGCACTGAAAGCAATATTGACAGATTTTATGTGTCAAACATATACTTCATGACCTCTTCTTGTAACTTACAAGTACTAATAAGCATTATACTATATCATGATTTCATAATACCGAAAAACATTTTTTTATAGCAAGTGAGTGAAAGTAACCCTGCACACAGTGAACAATGAATTATCGGCTCCGTAAAGCTAACGCGATTGAGCCTTCTACTTCTAAATAAACGAACTAGATAAAAAAAAATGAAGGTTATGTCATTTATAAATAGTATAAACAAAAAGGGCCCCACCACAGAAAAAAAAGTTGTTGAATATTGCATCCTAACAGCTGCACAGAGGTTGTGTAATATTACGTTGTACGATGTACATCGATTTTGCGAACAAAATTACATTCATTGATGTAATATTTTACCTGCATTTTACTATAACATCTGAGATTACAGCTTGAATTACGTTGATCGATATTACATTTATTTTACTGTGTAGATGAGAGCCTTTGATGGACTCCTGAAGTAACTTGAATGGGATTCGATTTCTTGGCGTTTAGTTAGATATGATTCGAGCCATTTGAGAAGCCCTGGCTCAATTTCCGTTCATTGCAATCAGCGAATAGTTAACATATTCGAGTAAATTTGTACTAGTGGAAGAAACCATGTTGCGTGCTAGTGATTTTGGTTTTGATTTGATGGAATAATTTTTCATTAACATGCAACAATTTTTCATTGGCATGCACAGTTGTGCACATCTACTGAACTGTCAGTCTACTGATCATTTATTAATAATTTTTCACTCAGTTGTTGAAATTTATTTTCCTTTAAAGTAATTGATAGATTAGGATCATAGTTTTTACTATAGACATGCTAAGAGTAGGAAAATCTTAACATTTGAATCAACACCAATGAATTTTTACACAGTCCGAGATGAATTTTTACAGTCCGAGATGTGCAGTGAGCATTTTTCACTTCATTTTTGCAACGTAAAATCAAACACAGTTTATTACTAAAATCAACTTTTTTTTTACGTATCTTACGGATGTATTACGGATGTCACTTCACGGTGAAAACTTGTCATTTGTCGTCACGGTGAAGTGATTCCCATTTGATCTGTACGGCAATCACGGCTCTTTATCTGAGTATCGCTTCCTTATCACCATGTGGTGACCCCTGTAATAAGGTCCTATAACAAGCTTAAACTCTACTCTATCGACTGCTTCAAACAGAACTATGATTGTCAGCTCTATGCAACGTTATTAGCAAATGAGCAGTTCGTGACCCAAATTGTGTATGCCAAGCATGCCCACCATGTGCGAGATTGTCAATCTCGTGAAAGCACTGAATGCAAATCCAGATGACATGGATACTTTACAGGCTAGCGACAAAGGGATTGTTCATAAACTACGTAGACAGTTTAGGGGTTGGCAATTATTCACGGCCCATACAAATTTAAAAAAAAAATGTATGTACAATTGTCTACGCAGGGAGAGGAGGCGAATCAATAATCCCAAAAAACTGTCTACGTAGTTAATGAACAGCCTCGAAGACTGTTTCCCATGACATGGGCTATTGTCATCCAAAATACAAACCAACAACATTATCCTCTTTTCCATGCCTTACCGTTTATTGTGATACACGCGAATCTCTGGTTCCAGGCTATGAAAAACTTCATTTTCGCATTTTTGTTTTTACTTCTTAACTATCCTAGCACGGGAAGCAAAAACCTTCCCTTCATCAGTACTGAGTTTATGAAAAAAAATATGTTCGTTTTTGATGATCAAATGTGAGAACAAACCGAAGAAAATGCCTGCCTTCCTAAACTTAAATGCGTAAGTCTTGGGTTCTTCAAAAAAAAACTACATATTGGAAAACACACAAAAACTGGTTGATTCCTGGCCGACAACGAATCGTTCGCCGGTAAACTAACTTACGCAGACTTTCCAGTCGACAGCAGAGCCATCAATCCTCCGGCCCCGGCGACGGACAGAATGTAGTTGAAGGTGGGAGTAAAGGAACGCAACACGTAGAAGCTAGCGAAGATGACGATCGCAAGGAAGAGCGCATTGTTGTAGAAGATCGAGAAGGTCGTCGCTTCGTACTCGGCGACATCGTTCTTCTTCCACAGGATCCGTTCGTCCTTTTCCTTACGGCTGATCTTTTTGTCGTCGGCCAGCAGCGCGGTCATCTCGCGGGTTACGGCATCCTCCCGCTTGTTGGCAATCTTGTGCTTAAGACTGAACTTGGTGTTCTTGTAGGCCATTGCCATCAGATAGGTGCCCAGCCCGGTCACAATTGCGAAGAACACCAACGAAGGAAGCAATTCCATTTGGTGCACTCTCCAGAAAAGCCCTTGAAAATAATTGGTAGATTATGAAGCAATTTCAAATCTGAAAAATACGAAAGGCCAACTTACAGATTGGGACGGCGGAAATAATGAAAGCATTTCCGTAGAAAAGTGCGTTCGACTTGGTGCTCACGTTCCGACTGAAATCCTGCAGAAGCAACTCTTCTTCCTTGGTAAATCCGGAGCTAGATTGTTCAGTCATTTTGGCTAATAAATTGGCTGCAAATAACGATGCACTATTTATCACTTAAACTATTGAAAGTTTCAACAACCAAAAACCAACCAGTACGAACACTCCTGACTTGAGATGTGGCACGAGAAAAATGAAAGTCGGCTAACTTTTCGGAACTGGTGCTGTCGGACCCGTAAATCTGTCGTGAAAGAAGCAAACGTAGCCGATACGTGTCAAAAAGTTTGACGATGTGGAAAGGCAGATAGACGCCCACCGACCGTTGATGCCCGCTAGCTGTCAATTTTGAGGCAATGATGCCAGTACCTGGAATCCCAAGCCAGTAACATGCATTTATTGACCAACAACTGAAAAGGGCCTATCTTTTTTTTGTAAACAAAACTTTGTAAGCCCTTTCCTCGCAAATCGAAGGCCGGCATTACAAATAAATGGCATCACCATGTAGGAGAAAGTTTTCCCTACCAGATGATGCTGTTAGTTTGTGTGAGCAGTTTACGCTTTGTATAGAAAAGGCTTTCTAAATTTTGTTTACAAGAGCTGATAGGCCCTTTTCAATTGGTGGTCGAGATTTAGGTAAATTTTAGCTACACAGTAAATAATGATTAACTTTTTTTTTATCTATCTGATTCAAAAAAAAATTTGTAGGAGGTTTTGTACCGTCGGGATTAACCTCAATCGGATGGCAGTTTAGTGATACTGTTAACGTGGACTTCGTCAATTTTTTCTTTGGTAGATTTTCTTGATATTTTTTTTCAGACTGCAGTGAAATGTATTGTCGCTAGAGTTGGAAACCGAAATAACTCACTCACGACAATCGATTTTACTCTCGTCCTTTCACGTTAAACATCATTTCGCATCTAGTGCGCATTATAGTGCATAATAATTTAAAGAATACAGCGCACTTGATGAGACGTTATGTTTAACGTACAGAACGAGAGTAAAATCGATTTTCGCGAGTGGGTTATTTCGGTTTCCAACTCTAGTGACAATAAATTACTCTTCTACAATATCCGCGAGCAAAATTTTTTTACAACGTTATTTTTCAAATTAAAATTTGGAACTTTAAAAATTATTTTTTTCTAAAAAAAAATCTAAGTGCTTGTAAACAGTCCGCACTCGTGTTTATTTCAGTTACCATGGGGACGTAATTTGTGATTAGCCCCGGTCCTTTTCAAATTGTATCATTATTTATGTACGGCGTTAAATTTTAAATGACGGTTCACATTCATCTAGTGATGGCCGATTTTCATTCGAATAATCGATAAATCGATTAAAGAAGCGAAAAGTAAAATGGTAAAATATTTGTAATAACCGATCATGCTGATATAAAACGCTGTCTTGACTGGATAGTTATAACATGTTATAACGGTTGTCAAATAATTGCAACACAGAAACCACCATCAAGATAGCGCTATAACATGTTATAACTCTGTAGTCTGAACGTACTATAAGCATTACCTTCTCCAGAGGATCATCACCCATCGTTTCAAACATATGCTACACTCTCATTGGTGGAAAAATGACAGCACAGCGAACAAAAAATAATCGATTAGATGTTAATCGAATAATTTAAAAAAAATGGGACATCTCTGATTTTGGTGTGATTGTTTTGCAAAATTTCATCTCTACCGAGGGGGCAGCAAAACCACAAAATTACCTTGCATACGGGGAGTATTCATTGGATGAAAGAGACCGTGAAAGAGGACACTAAATTAGAAAGTTTTTCTTCCGACTGAACTTTAACTGAACTGTCAAAAAGTTCATCCGATGAACACTGAGTTCATTCGTGACAACAAGCCCCAGAAACTAATTGTACCTTATCTATTTGAAAAGTTCCCGCATAATTATGTATTGCAGATTTCACACCTGATAAAACGCAATCCAGACTGGAGAGTTATAACATGTTATAACGGTTGTCAAATAATTGCAACACAGAAACCACCATCAAGATAGCGCTATAACATGTAATAACTCTGTAGTCTGAACGTACTATAAGACTCCTGAGCTAAAAATAAGTACAAATATTTTCGCAGTGGTCATAAAATTTAAATATTTAGTTTTTTTTTTTCCTCTAGTTTTTGTTTGACCTTCTTACACGGTATCCTCAAAATACCCAATTATGACTACAAAGTAAGCATTTTCGAGGAAAACTGGGACTACCCATTAAATGAGTAAAACTTTACCCATATATGAGTAATTACAACTACAAAAACAAGTAGTAAGTATTGATTTTTGAGTAACAAATACTCATAAATGGGTAATATTTTTACTCATTTAATGGGTAGTCCCAGTCTCCCTCGAAAATGCTTACTTTGTAGTCATTATTAGGTATTTTGCGGTTACCGTGTAGTGCATTGGGGTCATTTTTGGTCTGGAATCACTCTGTAGATTTGTCCTAATCTCGGTCCTACACAGCAAAAAAAATGTAATATCGATCAACGTAATTCAAGCTGATGTATGAAATAATGATGTAATATTACTATATATATAGCAAAAAGCAGATACAATATTACATCAATGGACGTAATTTTGTTCGTAAAATCGATGTACATCGTACAACCTAATATTACATAACCGTCGGAATGATCTCTGTGCAGCTGTTTGGATGTAATATTCAACAACTTTTTTTTTCTGTGTAATGCATTTTCCTTGATTTGATTTCCGTCGATCTTGTTTTCCGTGCTGAGCACCAATGCTACCGACGCTAGGGAGGCAACTCCCACACCTGGACCCTACCTATCGACCCATCCTGGCGGCGCCGACTGGGATTGAACCTAGCCCTACTGGAGTGAGAGGTAATCACCCTTACCACTACACCACCGGCACCACTAGTCCTAATGCATTAGGAAAGTTTAAAAAAAAATTTGTTTAACAATTTTTACACACTCAAAAAACGTTACGCTATAAATCATCGAGAGAAGTCAATGATTACAAAAGCTGTTAGGCCAATGGTTACTAGAAGATGCTAAATCTGCAGCTTTGACAGTATTTGAGCGAGAATTTCGCGGGAGGAGATAGTCCAGTCATAGAGCAAATTGAAAACAAACTCATTGAGGATTCAATACCAAAACCAAAAATGGCTGAATCGTGAATCTGACACGTTAGAACACCTACTTATATATACTCACCTTGATTTGACCCTTTTCCAGCTCTATATATTAATTTATATTTTATTTACAATGCGGCAGAAATAAAAATCAAAAGATGTAAAAATAAGGAATATTAAACAACTTAATTGGGTTTTAACTTTAAAAAAATATACCGATTTTTATACATCATCTGATAGAGCTAGTTTTTTAGAGTTTTCTGAGCACAACGATATTTTTATCGATCCTGTAGACAATCATCTCGATTTTTAAATCAATATTTAATTTTTTCATCGTTAACACTAAATCTATTCGTTGACAACTCGCTCCCATACAAATTCCCACTAAGGGGCGCTAAGATGGTGATTTTTGCTAATGTAATCGTACTTATTTAAAATAGTTCCAGTGTACCAAAATTGATGAAATTTTGGATTTCGGTTCCATTTTTATTGCAGATAACGAATATGTATTTACCTCAATACCCTACCCGCATAAACGCGAACCATAAATTGACCTTACCTAAAATGGTTAAAAATTGTTTATAATCCCTGCTAAACTTTAACTGAAATGGTTATGGAACTTTACATGAACGTTTAATGATAAAGTTTCAACCTTATGTATTATGGCTTTTTGGAACTGGACCTTACAAATAATGGGTTGTTAAGAACCATTACCGTTCCAAATTCTTGTTTTCTCCATACATTTTCGGAAAGAGAACTATATTAGAACCTTTTAACTTATGGTTTGAGAACTTTAATGGTAATGGTTATGGTAGTCAGTTAGGTCCACGAATGGTTTTGTAACATCGATCAACTTTATGTGGAATATATCGCGAATTGGTTGCCTGTAATTTACTGATTACCAATTCACGATATATTCCACGTAAAGTTGAGCGATAATACAAAACCATTAATGGACCTTACTGACTACCATAACCATTACCATTAATGTTCTCAAATCATAAGTAAAAACGTTCTTATATAGTTCCCTTTCTGAAAATGTATGGAGAAAACAAGAATTTGGAATGGTAATGGTTCTTAACAACCCATTATTTGTAAAGTCCAGTTCCAAAAAACCATAATACATAAGGTTGAAACTTTATCATTAAACGTTCATGTAAAGTTCCATAACCATTTCAGTTAAAGTTTAGCAGGGATTATAAACAATTTTTCACCATTTTAGGTAAGGTCAATTTATGGTTCGCGTTTATGCGGGTAAACAACCAATTTTAACTAAATAATAAAAAAGAAAATCTTCTAGTATATAATTTTTATTAAGCATTTATTAATAGATTTGGTTTACGGTGCATTTACCTGGGGACCCTAATCGCTACGGCGGGCATTGATTTGACAGCTGTTCGTTTATGTTATCAACCTCTTTTTCAGTCAGTGTGAGGAGGTAAACAAAACAGTGACGGAAACATTCAACAAAACAGCACAACATTTAGTGATCAAAAATAGTTCATCTAAGACTTTTGTTTCAAAGAAAGCCCAATTTATCGCAGTCTAAATGAAATTGCGAATAATTTACTGGCTTGTTTTGTAAGAAAAATGTTTGGTCACGACATTCGAAGCTACGATCTGAAGGTGGAGCTTGCCAAATGTTTCAACGGTCACGGGATTGTATATTTGGCACAGCATCTGCCTTCTCGGCAACATGTAGCAATCAAAAAATTTCTCATGGAAGATCTGAAGAATGATTTCTCTTTCATCATGGTGAGTACGGCTAATTTTATCATTTGTGAGTGATTAACTGCATAAGACAAATTGTTACAGGAGGAATCGAAGCATTTGAGAGAGTTCAATCACCCCAACATTCTGAGCTATCATACGGCGTTTGTACACAATCTGGATCTGTACTTCATCCTTCCATTAATGTGTTTCGGCTCATGTCGGGATACAATGAGTAACTACTTCGAGACCGGTTTCCCGGAAATATTATTAGCATGCATCCTGAGGGACGCAGTTCTTGGGTTGGAGTATCTACACAGGAAGGGATACGTTCACCGTTCGATCAAAGCCAGTCACATCTTCCTGAACGAATCGAGGGCCATACTCGGTGGATTTCGGGTATGTACGAGCTTTCTAGGCGAAGGAAAGCGAGTCAAAAACCTTCACGAGCTTCCTCCACATTCAACCAAGAGTCTCAACTGGTTGGCACCGGAAGTGCTAGCGCAGAATCTTCTAGGCTACACGGAGAAATCGGACATCTATAGTCTGGGCATAACGGCTTGCGAGTTGGCCAACGGGGTAGAACCGTTCAGTAATTTTCAAACCACTCTTATGCTCACGGAAAAGATGAGAGGCTATCAGCCGCTTTTGCTGGATTGTACGACCATTCCCAGTGAGGAAGTGTTTACCCAGGCTATGGATTCCGGCGTTGGAGACAGTAATTCGTCGCAAACACGGCAAATCTACGCCTCGAGGCAGTTTTCCGATGCGCTGCATAAGTTTGCCGAACTTTGCTTGGTTTCGTAAGTTTTGGACAAAAGTTGTCGCCAAAGCAACGATTAATATGTATGGTAATTATTATAGGAATCCTAGCGAAAGGTCAAGTACACTGGGGCTACTTAATCATCCCGTTTTCAAGCAGTGCAAACATACGAGCATCCGAGAACAGTTTGTCGCGTGTGGAATTGAAACTGCAGACTTTAATACAATTAAAGGTAAGAGATAGCTTGCAGGATTGCTTTGAGTAAATGCATATTGAGCTTTTTGAATGCTTTCAGATGACGAATTGAATCTGTCGAACGAATTCTCAGGAATGTCCATGGACACCAGCGGTGGTAATTTCGAGTGGGATTTTTAGGATTCCTAGGCAGATTTTACCCCATGTTCCTTTATAGTGGCCGACCTTAGGCGCTTGAACCATTGAGGCGTAGACTATGATAATTCTTCCACGTTTGTGTGCTCGCACTCGCACATACACATACACCTTTTGCAATCAAAATTCTCTGTTTTACTTGTAATAATTAATTGGACGTTACCTGTTCTGTACCACGGATAGCGATACTTAGCTGATGAAACGAAGAGACAATGCAAATTTCCGTTTGGATATGATGTGCAAAGTAACTGTAGGTCAGAATGGATATGTTTTAGCGTAGTGAAGAAACGAATCAGAACATTAGTGTATAAATTAGGCTTTTATTACTCATTAAAAATATAATAAAGGTTTTATATAGGTATTAAAAGCAGTTTTTTATTTACTTTCAAACGTAATAGTTGAAGAAATGCATTCGATGATTGCTATAACCAGTTGCAGGTTCAAAAGTCTTACATATGCAACTAAACAACGAAAATGAAGAATGTGCAGACTGTAAATAATACTACTTAGTATTTTTTGATAAAATTTAACACCTGAACTGGTTTTCCAATCCGATGGCATAAACGTTAAACTGTTGAAAACAAAGAAAATCATGTTAAGTAACATTTTGAACCCTACACTGTGTCCTGCCTATCGGACGAAGCTAAATATAAATTTGATAGTTCCACCTTTTGTTGTAACTATTTTTAAGTTCATTGAACAAAACTTGGGCACATTCGAATTCTAATAGATGTTTTTCTTTCTTTTAAGTGGAAGTATCTAATACATGACATAGTAAAACATGGTGGATATGCTGCATCCAGCATTGTGGTCCATATCTAACCGCTCATGACCATTCGAACGAACTCTTCGTAGTTAACGTTACCTTGCGAATCTTCCTGATTCTGGAGGAGTTGCTCCACCTTTGAAATAAAAAATAAAAAACACATTAAATTTTCCCCATAATGAAAGTCAGGAAATTTCAATTACCTCATCATCGGCCAACTTCTCACCCAGCGTTGTAAGCAAATGTCTCAGCTCGGCCGACGAAATGAATCCGCTCGCGTCCTTATCGAAGTGGCGCAGCCCCTCGATAAAGTCATCGGCCGTATCGGCGGTACGCTGCTTAGAGATGGCCTGGTAAATCGGCAGGAATACCTCGAACGATACACGTTCATCCGGTTTCAACTGCATGGTGAACTTCTTCACGTCCGACTCAGTCGGATTCTGGCCCAAGGCGCGCAGGCACTCGCCGATCTGCTGCTGTTGGATCTTGCCATCGCCGCGGTTGTCGAACAGGTTGAAGGCTTCCTGGAATTCTGTGTTACAAGAAGGGAGACGACGACAAATGTAAATGGTTAGCTGATAGGTTGAAATGTGCGCTCAAACGGGCATGTGTGGCATGTGGTTGAATTAACATTTTGAATGCACTGAATGTGGTGCAGCGAATGCTTTTCCCAAAAAAGGAAACACACAAGATAGGTGAATGCGATGATGATAATGAACCGGTAATTAGCTGCATTTTAAATCAGGTTTGCTTCAATTTTGCATCGATCGGAAAAGCTTATTTATCAACTGAGGGAATGTAAGGTAACTTGGACATTGCACCAATTTTGTTTTTAGTTTGACTTTGGTTTTTTTTTTTTATTAAAGTTAACTTAATTCTGTATTTACGCGATCTTTTATTGTCCGTCTTTTTGATCGTGTGATCTTAAAGCGCAACCAAATATAGCGCAACTTGTTTTAAAAAATCGAAAAAAATGTGGCATTGAAATTTTGTACTCATCCTAAATGAGGACGATTGATCATTTTGTCAAGCTTCTGCATTCATGTTCCATCAGATGTCACAGCTGTTGTTTGCGGTGATATCTATCGGAAACTAGACACAATCTGTTTTCTTATAATTGTTCACAGAGGACACTGCAGTGCAATACATGTCGGGTACCTCTATATATGCATTTAGATTAGTATTCAAAGTCCCTCCTTTTTTACACATTCTACACACAAAATAGCTTACCCCTCACAGAATTTCCCGCCGAATTTTATGTATGGGGCGGGGCATAAAGTATCTTTTGCGTAGAATATGTAAAAAAGGAGGGACTTCAAATGTTAAAGCAAATTCATATATAGAGGTACCAGACATGTTTTGTAGTGTCAGGTACTCTATTTTGTAATCTGTGAAAGGGAAATCACAAATCGAGTGTCAACAAAATACATGGCATGTTGAAAGATTGAGCTCGTGAGAGAGAGTTTCTCTCTCAAATTTGAATTGTTTTGGCTCTCTGGGGACTGGTAGTAAAGCAGGTAAAATTATTTGGGGAAAAATCATTTTTATTTAATTGTAGCTTGTTTTACAATAATTTCCGGGAAAAAACTGAACGACGAAGTCCCTGATTAATTTCTTTAGGTTGTCGTTCACTTTTTTTGACCTGAATATGCACCGAAAGCGAATTATTCCCACTTCTCTCAATTTCTATATGGGGATTTTTATCACTTTCTACCAGCGGAACAGCGCCATCTCTGTGGAAAATGGTCGAACAAAATGATTAATTATGGATTATTATTTTTCAAAAATACGGCGGCTTTGCACTAAATTCCACGCGATCTTTGCTTTCTGCTTTTTAAATTAATTGACAAAAATAACGAAGATTGCGGATATTTTTTAATAAAACCTTTATAAATTTCATGGAACCTCAAAAATCTACAATTACTAAAGAGGCAACTAACCATCACTCAATTTGCTTCTGCTTCTTCTTCATGTATTCCTAAATCATCCCTTTCAAAAAGTATTGGTAACATTAATAATAATCATATAGTTCGGACATTTTCCACAGAGACGGCGCTGTTCCGCTGGTAGGAAGTGATAAAAATCCCCATATAGAATTTGAGAGAAGTGGGAATAATTCGCATAGGGGTCTCATAGCCTAGTCAGTAAAGACACGGTATTACCATAGAGATAACTCTAAGACAAGTAGGTCCCGAAGAAACGTGGTCAATTTTTTGGCTCACCTCTGGTACTATCTTCGGTCCCATGCTTGTCGAATCACCCCTCGAAACATAGGAAAAACCAATAACCCCTCATTTTATCTGTCAAACTTTCATAGCGAATCAAAACAAACATTGCGTAGTACTAGAATTTCGACTAGAATAGGGTACGTTAATCGTTTGCTTGGGACCAATAGGCTACTAAAGTGGTGAGCCAATTTAAAATCGTTAGTTTCGTATTGATTGTTGGTATTACCAAGCCGGAGGCGGCGGGTTCGATTCCCGGTCCAGTGAAGGGAATCTTTCGGGTTGAAAATTTTCTCGACTTCCCTGGGCAGAGAGTGTCATTGTGCTTGCCACACAATATACAAATTCATGCATTGGTAATTGGCATCGAAAGCTCTCAATTCATAACTCCGGAGAACTTCGAGATTAGGGCGTAATTGCGTTTGTAAACAAACACTTAAATCACCGATTTCTAGCGAATTAAAGGACAATTTCACGAACAAACTATACGAAATGATAGAGCAACCATTCCTCTATCTGTTTGTGTTGTTAGTTTGTGAGATTGAGGTTTAATTCGCGAGAAATCGGCGATTGAAGTGTTTGTTTACAAACGCAATTACGCCCTAAAGGGTGATACGGTCAAAATTTGGTCAATATCAACTTGACGTATTTCTTTCAATTTTGCATTTAAAAAACCTGAACACCCCTCATTTTGAAGGTGTGTGTGTGTAGAATGTTGCTCCTATTTTGATTTTGGAATTCACTCTTCAGTTGTCAAAATGCCGTCCAAGCAAGAAGAGCAGCGTATCAAAATTTTGCTCGCGCATCGCGAAAATCCGAGCTACTCGCACGCAAAGTTGGCAAAATCGCTAAAAGTTGCCAAATCAACCGTTACAAATGTAATTAAAGTGTTTGGGAACGTTTGTTGACAGCCAGGAAGTCTGGATCGGGGGGAAATCGAAAACCGGAAGCCGCTGAGACGACAAAGAGAGTTGCCGGTAGTTTCAAGTGAAACCCTAACCTCTCTCTCCGAGATGCCGCAAATAAGCTGGGTGTATCGTCTACAACCGTGCATCGAGCCAAAAAACGAGCCGGACTATCGACTTACAAGAAGGTAGTGACTCCAAATCGCGATGATAAACAAAATACGACGGCCAAAGCGCGATCCCGGAGGCTGTACACGACGATGCTGACGAAGTTTGACTGCGTGGTAATGGACGACGAAACCTACGTCAAAGCCGACTACAAGCAGCTTCCGGGACAGGAGTTTTATACGGCAAAAGGAAGGGGAAAGGTAGCAGATGTTTTCAAGCACATGAAACTGTCAAAGTTCGCAAAGAAATATCTGGTTTGGCAAGCCATCTGTACCTGTGGCTTGAAAAGCAGCATTTTCATAGCTTCCGGGACTGTCAACCAAGAAATTTACGTGAAAGAGTGTTTGAATAAACGTCTGCTGCCTTTCCTGAAGAAACACGGTTGTTCCGTACTGTTTTGGCCGGATTTGGCATCTTGCCATTACGGTAAAAAGGCCATGGAGTGGTACGCCGCCATCAACGTGCAGGTGGTTCCCAAGGACAAGAACCCTCCCAACACGCCAGAGCTCCGCCCAATTGAGAAATACTGGGCTATTGTCAAGCGGAACCTAAAGAAGACCAAAAAAACTGCTAAGGGCGAGCAGCAGTTCAAGGCAAACTGGCTTTCTGCGGCGAAGAAGGTGGACAAGGTGGCTGTACAAAATCTGATGGCAGGGGTCAAGCGTAAGGCCCGGCAATTCGGATTTGGAAAAGCGGAAGCCTAACTGAATATTTTTCCTGAATTTTATACTAATTGAACTTGAAAAAGAAATTTAATTTGATTTTTTAAATAAACGATTTCACCGATTTACACGTGTTTTCCCTTGACCAAATTTTGACCGTATCACCCTTTAATCTAGAAGTTCTCCGGAACTGTGGAAGTGCATTAGAACACTAAGCTGAGAGCACGCAATAAGCTAATATGCGCTAAGCAATAAACTTGAAATGCGAATAAGAAGAAGAAGGGAATAATTCGGTTTCGGTGCATATTCAGGTCCAGTGTCTGTTTTTATCATTTACCATCACAAGCAAGGAGTAGCGCTTCAACTCAGTGTAGATGAATTGCGTTTATTTTGAAAATCCTTGCTGTTACGTACGACCGAAATGTACAAATGAGTTCATTATTAGTTTAGTTTTTTGATTTTCACCATTATCCAACCCAAAATTGTCAAAATCAGAAGCGATCCTCAAAAGCAAAATCAAGCTGAACATTGCATTAGGTCCTAAGTAACATTGATCGATTCTCTTCGTCGACTTTCTTTAATAACTTGAGCACATAGCCGTTACTTGTTGTGTTTGTAGAATTAGATGCTAGATAAAAACTTCATTTATCGATGTGTGTATTGAAAATATCTTGGAATATCTTTACATGGCCGTGGGGATGCAAAGAGAAAGTCGACGAAGAGAATCTGTCAACGTTACTTAGGACCTAATGCAATGTTCAGCTTGAAATAATCAAATTCATTTCGAGCAAAATGATTATTTTGAATACTGTCGACCCCAGAGCCTAAAACCACAAACGAAGTGACAGACGGAGCGGCTCGAAATTTGATTTGACGCACTTACATTTGAAATTTTCGAGTGTAACTCACGGCAACACTATCTACTCATATGTACTAGCTTAAAGAAGTTGATGCTATTGGGGCACCGCCTGTTATCTCTTTTTATCTAACGAAAATTGAAAGGGACAGCCTGTTGTCAAAGTGCATATCACTATGTTGTGTTTGTTGTTATCTGCACTTCTTTTGTATAATGAAAGACCATAGGCCAAAATGATTAGGGGTAAACACATCGGGTTAACATTTGCTTACAAGTAAACGATGTTGAGCTGTCAATGACTCGCGCTTGTTGGTGGCAATTGTTGCTAAAGATTTCATCATTCGGTGCTCCTAACCAAAGCCACGGTCATTCGCGACCGAGAAGATATCGTTGTTGGACGTTGGACGCCAAACAGGACCCACCCGTAAAAAAATCCTATAAAAATACAATGATTTTGAATGGAGATTTTTGTTGATTACCATAAAATCACAACGAAAATCATGGTATATGAGAAATGAACAGTAAAAAAGGGGGGTTGTTAAGCATCTTAACAATAAACTAACTGATTTTTCTCGAACAAATTTGATCTCATCAAATTAATTTTCATTGAAAATTGTATCGTTAAAAACGAAATTTATTTTTTCTCCTGTCCAATAATTTAACAATAAATTTATAATATGCCCGAAAACATCATTGTAATTTAGTTATTTCATTAT